CCCTACAGGCCACAACCCCTCTAGTTCAGATTGCAAGAAATTTTCCAACTCTAGCTAGTTTCTTCAATTGGGTTGTTAACTCTCTCTTTTTTAATAATCGTTAGGTGCGGACTAGCTTAGTGCACCTCGGTACCTGATACCTCCCTATTTTTCTTTCTTTAAAAATGGAATAGTTTTCTTCTTTTGGGTATTTGCTATTAAACCTTCTATTTTCTTGGTATCTTGTATATGATCATTATTGCACATTGGCGAACTGTTGAACAGTGTTTTTTCTGTTGTGGAAGGAAAAAGGCAGGACAAATACCATTTTGTAAAGATTTTAGACTCTTGGCAAATAAAGGTACAATCTTTTCCCCTTTACATTTCTGCAAAGAGGCTCTATTCTTTGTTTTTGCTTTCTATATGTGGTGATTATTCAGTTTTAGTAGATGAAATTCTGTTTTGGTATAATCTCAGGATATAGCTACTTGGACTCTCAGTTTGATCCTGATCATAAATGGCTGAAGTGATTGGTCCAAGATTATATAGTTGCTGCAATTGTAGGAATGAAGTTGCACTGCACGATGATGTTATTTCTAAAGCATTTCAAGTGAGTAACTTGAGCTCTTTTTTTCATTTTCCTTGTGAATATGATTTGGGGTTTTGAATGCTACACTTATTCTAATCATATACTATTGTTTTTCATGAAGCCTACACAGATTAAAAAGTTAAATTGTATTCTTTGTAATTTAGAATAAGGTTAAATTGTTGTATGGTCTTTGTTCTTTGCTACAGTCAGTTTGTTAGCTAATGTCCACTAGTGTATACTATGTTCAAACAGATAGTAATAGAACATAAAATTCCGCTGTCTCGCCTAATTCCTTTTGTATATTTCTGATAAAATCGATGATCTTGTTGCATATAAGAATGTTGTCGCCTGTCTAATTTGAAGGGGCGTCTTGGCGTAACTGGCAAAGTTACTGCCATTTGACCAGGAGGTCACAGGTTCGAGCTGTGGAAACAGCCTCTAGCAGAAATGCAGGGTAAGACTGCGTACGATAGACCCTTGTGGTCCGGCCCTTTCCCGGACCTCGCGCATAGCAGGAGCTTAGTGCACCGGGTTGCCCTCTTTGCTTTACCTGATTAAGAAAAAAGAATGTTGTCACCTGTGCCACAGAATGAGTGAGGCTATACGGTGTTTCAAAAGTTGAGTTACATTTTTTTTTTCTTAAGTGTTTCCACCAACAAATTCTTGTATCATTTGACATTTAGGGAAGAAATGGTCGAGCATTTTTGTTCTCTCATGTGATGAACGTTGTTGTTGGGCTCAAAGAGGATAGACAACTCATGACTGGTCTCCATACAGTTGCTGATGTCTACTGCTCTGACTGTCGTGAGGTGTTGGGTTGGAAATACGAACGAGCTTATGAGGAGACACAGAAGTACAAGGAAGGCAAATTCGTACTTGAGAAGTCGAAGATTGTCAAGGAAAATTGGTAGTCCGTCATGCTAGGTCAAAGTGTGTGGTACATGCTCATTTTGTTATATCAATTCTGAGCAATTCAAAAGGTCAATTCATTGCTGCCAATAGCCTGATCTCAGCTTCTATTTCTTGTGTGTGTTGTGCGATTGGATGAAATATCTGAGATGCTGTAAAAATCCTGTTAATATTCTATCCTGAAAATAAAATCTTGTACATATATCATATTTTCTTTACTTGGTTTCTTGGAGCAAATGACGACTGAGTTATTGCAAAAGGTCCAGGGCCTGCTTTTGCGCGATCTTAACTGTATTTTGTCATGAGAAATCTCAATGTGAACATGGTCAGTTGGCCTGCAAGCAAAAGTACATAAGAGTTTTCTCCTAGTATCTTGAAGCTAAAACATAGAGAAAATAGAAAGTAAAGAACTTCTATAGATCTTCAAAGTATAAAGATATAGCCAAGAAGTTGTTTTAGAACTGCCTAAGAAAGCTTTTATTACCATTCAGGTTTCAGCAGCTCCACGATTTAATGTCCTTTCCTACTATATCAGCTAGTTACTATTCTATGATTATATCAGGGGCCTTCTAGCGTCGATTTCATTAATAACTTGTTGTTTGCTTCTCAAAAAAATAAAAAAAGCTATACTAGAACCTACTTTTGAAATCCATCATAGAGTACCTGAATTTGGTTTTTGTGATATACTAGTTCTGAAATGTGAAGGGAAGCCTTGGCGTAACCGGTAAAATTGTTGTCATGTGACCAGGAGGTCATGGGTTCAAACCGTGAAAATAGTCTCTTGCAGAAATGCAGGGTAAGGCTGCGTACAATAGACCATTGTGGTCCGGCCCTTTCCCGGACACTGTGCATAGCGGGAGCTTAGTGCCCGGACTTCCCTTTTTACTAGTTCTGAAATGCATCATTGAAAATGGAATGCCTGAAATTTTTGCTACTTTTGGAATTCATCGTGTTTTGAGGGTTCTATGATGTTGGAGAGAAGGTTGAGTAACATAATGCAATTGTATAGGGAAGCCACTCAGTTATGCATTTCGATATTGAGGAAGAAACTCAAGTAGTTTGCCTTAATCAATCCTTGAGTTCTTTAACCAATCCTTGAGTTCTTATTTGTGTTGATAAGGTCTTCTTATTTATTTAAATATGTCTCAAACTGCATACATTAAAATTGTGACATGATTAATTCCCTGGGCATAAGATGTCCATTATCAGATTAGTAATGTGTCTAATATCACCTCAGTACTGAATTTGCTACAGTACTGAATCAGATTAGAAATTTTCTTACAACCTAAGAGGAAAAAGGAAAATGTGGATGACTGTATACACTAGTAAGTAAATTAACAAAACTAAATAAAAGAAGACAATTTCATTCTCATGCGTCTGTGTATCTGCTCCTGACTTTATAGTGTCTTAGGATTCAATCTCTAATATTCTAAGAAGAGGAAATAACACTCAAAAGTAAGAACTACTGCATGTAATAAAATAAACGAAGCAGAGCATAAGATGAAGTAACCAAACAATTCATTTCATTAACACAGCTGGACAGTTAAAAAAAAAAGGGTAAAACTAACAAAAGAAAATAAACAGTTTCCCTAAAAATAAAATGGAACTTCTCATGCTAGGTCAAAGATTAGTAGCAAGAAACAAGCTATGTACATATTTTCTTTTTACTAGTCCACTTCTTTCTGACATTTTCAATTGCCTCCACTCTCATTCTCAAGAGTTCACGGCAAGATTGCTGATACTGCATATTGATGGCATCAAGTTCCAACTTGAGATCCTGCAATTGATTCTTGTCATTTGCTCCTTCGATGAGAGAGATGGAAGAGAGGTTAGAGCTCAAATCATTAGATATGAGATTCCGCGAGCTATCAAAGGATATCCCAGAATTTTTGGTACAATCACTCATTACAACATCACCAATACTACCCATATTGTAGCTTGGAACATGGATCTTGGGACCCTCGATGCATTCTAACTCATTGCCAAGCGATCTTAAAAGGTTGTTATACTCAACATCTGAGGCTGATGTTCCCCTTTGATTCAAAGATGTAGCGCCTAGTTCTCCAATAACGTGATCCTCTATTCTAGGAGTTTGAGAAAGGACATGAAACTGGTTATGAGCATCTTTTAATTCATAATTCTGAACAAAACTTGCAGAGATTGGATTACTGTTAATCACAGTAGAATCATTGGATGAGTTATTCACTGCACTGGAACTCCCAAAAGAATATTTCTGGCTTGTCGAGAGTTTGAGAATGAAGCCGTCAATCAATTCAGCAATTGTTGCCACATCGTCGTTTGACAGCGCAAGCTCCTCTGCCATCTCACTAGCTATTGACATCACAGTGTCAACATCAAGATAAAATACAAAGTGCACATGCCTAATCCGACCTGTTAAAAACAAAGAAGAGAGTCAAACATTTGCCAGCAAATACTCATGTATATTCTTTTAGCATGGTTACACACCAGTCAATTCAGCAATTCGCATTGAAAAGGCAATTGATTGGTCATCATGCTTGTCACCTTGTAATCTAAATTCGTTTCTCCCATTACTTCTCACAAAGTCTAGATTAGAAAACTGAGGACATCCATTCTTGCTTTCTACGGACATGTCACTTTGTAACTTCTTCTGTGCAAGGTCTATGTCCATGGAAAAAGAATACGACTTTGGAAAACTCTGTGCTTCAGGCACACAATTTGAGTGCTGCAAAGGATCACATTGGGGTTTTTTCAAGCTTTCAGATGAAAGAAATGGGTCTTCCAAAAGTTCAGCTGCACTCAATCTTACAGATACTGGGGCCAAACATTTCTCCACAAATTGCTTTACATGAGGATCTGCTACTTTCGCCAAAGATGCTGGCTTTATGCCCTGAAATCAAACATTTTCCTAAGCATTGCAATTATTTTAGAGTACAACAAAGTAATAGTTGTAAAGCTTAGGAATACTGGAGCTCACCGACGTGACCTTTTTATAAATTTGTGCTTGATTTCTACACTCATTATACGGATATTCACATGTGATTAGCTCCAAGATGCACATGCCAAAAGAATATATGTCGACAAGTTCATTATATTCTTCATCATATAGCTCTGGTGCCATAAATTCAGGGGTACCTGAAGAAAAGAAAACACAAAGAAAATATGGTAATAGGGGTTAATATATCAGGTTTGATGAAACCAAAGACAGCAAGTCCAAGTCAAATAACTACCAATAACACTTCGAGCTGTAGGCTGCTCCATGATTGTTGCCAATCCAAGATCTCCAAGTTTAACTTCTCCATGGTTTCCATTGATGAATATATTGTCACATTTCAAGTCTCTGTGTATAACTGGTGGATTGTGACTATGGAGAAAATGTAAACCTCGGAGAATTTGTCTAGCCCATTTTTTAATGGCCCTCGTGTCAACAGTCTTGTGCTTTCTCCGATATCTAAAATCCATAGAAAGCAAACGACATATGAATAAGAAAGTCTGGAGGTTGCATTGTTAATAAGAAGGGGAAATATGCAAGAAACATTGGACTCACTGCCTTAAGCTTCCTGAACTAAATAATTCAGTGATCATATTAATACTTTTGTTCACATCGTCCACCCATGAAGCATATAGCTTTATAATGTTTTCATGCTTCAACATTCTCAACAAATGAACCTCAGAATATATCCTCTCCAAATATTCTGGTGACTGCAAAGCATCATCTATGCAGATTTGATTCCAAGCAACTTCTATTCCATCAATTTCATCAAATGCCTTATAGCTACACGTAAAACATGTGAATATTAACCATTAAAGTATTGAAAACTAATAATGACCAACTACATCTTAACATAATTAAAGTGCAAGAAAAATAACAGAAGATGGGTCTAGGAGCCATACACAGTCTTAAATGCTCCACTTCCCAAGATTTCATTATACTGGAGGAAAAAGAACAAAGAGAAGGTGACAATACCACCAAAACCCACAATATTACATAAACGAAACAGAAAGAAACTAACATCACATAATAACCGAGCACACTCCATTTCTCAACAAAATGTATAAATAATGTAAAAGAGAAAAATTTAATCATAGTAAATGAAAACCTAACTAAATTCCTACCAATATTACAATTTGTTTAAATAGCAAGCCTCACTTTAGTTCAACTAGGCATCAAAAGATACAACAGCTCTTTGCCGAAATGCAAGCAGAAGCATATACACTCACCCTCGGTATGGGGTAACCCATTTTTAACAAGTCTCACTTTTAAATCAAGAGTTTAAGTTATATACACTGTTGTAGCAGGTAACCTGTCTTATTTTCAAGATTATAAGCCTCACATTTTAAGGAGACTTACCTACAGATATTCGTTGTATGTACCTGTGTAATAATATTTTACAACGACGGTGAACATAACTTAAACTAAGATGAACTAAAGGAACAAAGTACAACAAGCAGGAGTCAGTTGATTTAATCAAATAATCCTAAAAATCGAAAAACACATATGTACCCGAATGTATCGCTTGTCTGGGGACACTTCAACAACCTCAGGTTCGTCAAATTTACCTTTCAATCTTGACTTGTCAATCGATGATGTGGCAGAATTCATCTCTCCACAACCCAAAAATAAGAAAATCCCCCAAAAAGATTGAAACACCCAAATCCTAAAACAAAGATTAAAATTGGGGAAAATCAAAGAAAGGGTTCAGAGAATGCTTCACAGGCAACTGAATAAGAATCAATAACCCTTCCAAATCGGAATTGGCGTTCAAAGAACTCAACTTTAAGGGAAATTAAAGCAAAATTGAGAACCCCCATTTGCAAAATTCAAGTAATTAACCACAAAAACAAGAACCCAGTATTGAAACGCATATAGCTAGACTAATTAGGGCAAGAAAAAAAATTCAAACCCTAAACCTCAACGCCCTATAACGAAACCCTAATCCGTTGATAAAGAATTGGGGATTGAGAATGGTGAATTTAGGGTTTGGGGGGG